CGCCCATCCATACATCATATTGCCACTGTTTGTCTCACGTCGCTCTCATCTCCTCCGCCACTGGGAATTGAGTTGACCTTGGTATCCTACCTTTGGAGCTTGCATCCGCTGGTCTTGAGTGTCGACAAGGGCCCTTGAACCACCCAGAGGAGGATGACCAGAATACCGGCTTGACTTATTACAGTGGACTCTCATCACTGTTAGTCATGGACGGAGAACACCCAGCCAGCCGCGAGCAGGGAACTGCATCTGGAAACGAGATAAAGTCCGAAAATCATGTCACTTTTGCCGAGCCAGCTGGCGCGTTGGACGAAGCTGCCCGACTTCGAAATCTCGACGCCCAAGTTCGCGACCAAGATGACCTGGAACGAGGGATTGGACGCGAAGCTGACCGACTTCTATTCGAACAGGCTCAACAAAGAGACCAGCAGCGACTCGAGAAGTCCAAAGCGCAGAAGCAAAAGTTGCTGAATCAAATCAAGAAGACTCGAGATGACATGAGCCGTCCCATCGGCACCACTCAACGTGGACGTCTGCGCCTGGATGTGGAGCGTATGCAGGGTCAAATTCAGGATTTGGACAATGATATCGCCGAGATCGAAGAGCGTATGGCAGAGAGAGAAACCAATGCTGGCGCTACCGAACAACAAGCCGGCTCATCGACTGGACGCTTACCAGGCGAGACTCAGCGTGATTTTCTGATCAGGACCGGGAAAATCACACCATTCTCAAACTTCGGCCTGTCGACCCATGGGGAGTCGTCCGCAACTCTACAGGGGGCACTTCTAGACGCCGAAGAGGAGCCAGACCTTGGCGAGATCGAGCTCGACGCACGAGGTGGAAAGTCAATGTCACATCGAAATTTGAGACAGCCAGGCTTCGCTTCCAACTTTGTCGATTCAAGTGCCGAAGATGACATCGATTCGGAGCAGCCGCGCAAACGAAGACGGGTCGCTAAAGAAAGGGTCTCAGAGAATGAAGAATCCTCTTATGACGAAGGATTGCTTGAGGATGACCTGCTCTCGGAGTCACAGGAGGACCTAGAAGAGGACATGCCCAGTACTCGTGGGAAGAAGCGAAGAGCAGGCCGAAAGTTAGTAGCTCAACCAGATGATGGGGTCGAAGATTTTCGCGGTGTTGACGATGGCAACGAGAATGGCTATCAGTCAAGACTCCAGAGGTGGGCTATTCGCAGAAGGAACGCTCGAAAACAGGCAGCCCGTGATGCAGGACAGCAAGAAGAGGACGGAGTTGACGAAGACGACCCAGCCGTCATTGCTGAGGAAGAGTGCTATCTGCCACATCCTGAAATTCCAGACACCGTCCTCGATGCTGGCTACAGGTTGCCTGGAGATATCTACCCCAGCTTGTTCGACTACCAGAAGACTGGGGTGCAATGGCTCCATGAGCTCCACATTCAACAAGTAGGCGGAATCATTGGTGATGAAATGGGTCTCGGAAAGACAATTCAGATTATCTCCTTTCTGGCCGGTCTTCATTACAGCAAAAAGTTGGACAAGCCTATCATCGTCGTTTGTCCTGCTACGGTCATGAAGCAATGGGTCAATGAATTTCATCGCTGGTGGCCACCGTTCCGAGTGACGATCCTTCATTCATCCGGCAGCGGTATGGTCAATGTCCGGAATGAAGCCAGCAAGGAAGACAGTCTTCTTGACCTCGAGTGGGATCCCAATGCTGGGAACCGACCGCTCACTGGGGCTCAAAAGGCAGCACAGAAGATTTTGAGGCCAATCCTAGAGAAAGGAGGTGTTCTAGTGACGACATACTCTGGCCTTCAGACTTATGCGCCGCTTCTCATCCCCGTCGATTGGCAATATGCGGTCTTAGACGAAGGACACAAAATCAGAAACCCAAATACAGCCATCACAATATATTGCAAAGAACTGCGAACTCCCAATCGGATCATTCTGTCTGGTACACCTATGCAGAATAACCTCATCGAGCTGTGGTCGCTCTTCGACTTTGTCTTCCCTATGCGACTGGGCACGCTGGTAAACTTCCGCAACCAGTTCGAAATACCGATCCGTCAAGGCGGCTACGCGAATGCATCGAACTTGCAAGTACAGACTGCTTTCAAGTGTGCAGAGACCTTGAAAGACGCCATCAGCCCCTATTTGCTGCAACGTTTCAAGATCGATGTTGCTTCTGACCTACCCAAGAAGAGCGAGCAGGTCTTGTTTTGCAAGTTGACATCTTTGCAGCGCAAGGAATACCAGAAATTTATCAGCTCAGGAGAAATGGATGCCATCATGACCGGCAAGCGACAGGTCCTCTATGGTATTGATCTGCTCAGAAAGATCTGCAATCACCCTGATCTCACGGACCACAAGCGTCTTTCGGGCAAACCTGGCTATGACTATGGTAACCCAGCGAAGTCAGGCAAGATGCAGGTCGTGGGCTCGCTTTTGGAGCTGTGGCGAGATACTGGGCACAAAACACTTCTGTTCGCTCAGCATCGTATTATGCTTGATATCCTGGAGAAATACGTGAGATCACTCTCAGGATTTAGATACCGCCGCATGGATGGCAACACACCGATCCAGATGCGGCAGAGTATGGTCGACGAATTTAATACCGACCCAGATCTGCATGTCTTCCTGTTGACCACCAAAGTTGGAGGGCTGGGTATCAATTTGACTGGGGCCGATAGAGTCATCATCTATGATCCTGACTGGAACCCGTCAACCGATCTGCAAGCACGAGAACGAGCCTGGCGATTAGGCCAGAAGCGCGAAGTGACAATCTACCGACTGATGACGGCCGGCACTATTGAAGAGAAAATCTACCATCGTCAGATCTTCAAACAGTTCTTGACCAACAAGATCCTGAGGGATCCGAAACAGCGGCAGACGTTCCATCTGAATGACTTGCACGATCTTTTCAGCCTTGGCAACGAAGGAGACGAAACAGAGACGAGCAAGCTATTCCAGGATGCACAGGTTAAGCATTCGACGAAGCCTGCTGATGCTCCAACAGCCGTCCGAACAACCAATGAGAATCTCCCAGCGCCTGCTAATTCCGATACAAAAATCGAAGCCTTACCGGGCATCTCTTCCATGGAGCAATACGCAGGAGAGGTGGAGGAAGAAGAACAGGCGAAGAAGGATCCGACGAACAACTCAGAAGATAGAGTCATGGAAGGTATCTTCTCTCGCGCCGGTATCCACTCTGCGGTTGAACATGATGCAATCATCGACGGGAAAGCGCCAAAGAAAGTGGCAGCAGATCCTGTGATGATTGAGCAAGAGGCTCGAAAAGTAGCCGCTGAAGCGGCTAGAGAGTTACGCCGTGCTGGTGAAGTCGCCCGCACTGTGCCAATTGGAACACCAACCTGGACGGGACAATTTGGCGTGGCTGGGCGGCCGCAGGAGACCACAGCTCGGAATGCATTCAGCTCCAACTCGCGAAGCAGAGGCGGTGGTCTACAATCATCAAGCCTGCTGGCTAACCTGCAACGTCAGGGCAATCATATACCCTCCCGTGGTGGCACTCCAAGAACAGAGAGTCCCGCTAGATCGTCTGGTTCGGCAGCATCTGCCTCGAGAGAAGGGACGCCGAACCTGCCGAGGGGCAAGGACTTTGGGAAACTCATCCGTGACTACCTCACCACGCATGGTGGGAGTGTGTACACCCAGATGCTCATTGATCACTTTAACCGATACTGCACTACGGCGCAAGCAACGGCTGAGTTCAAGGAGACGCTCAAGTTGATTGCCAGGCTTGAGAAGGGTAGTCGTGGCCGTGGTCGATGGGTGTTGAAGGATGAATACAAGACGTAGATGTGACGCTTGGATGGTTGAAGATTCTTAGGGAAAGAATCTTATATGGAGGGGGGGTTCCCTGGTGGCTGAGTTCGGCTCGTCTGAGCGAGGTTCCTTCCGCAGGAGCTGAAATATTGATTTTTGACGTCTCACACAGTGACTGGTTCCGTTCTCACTCGTTATCGTCCAGTAACCCTTGTGGTGACCAATACTCCGGTTCCGAGCATTGGTAGTCGACCCACACCAGAGAGTCTGCCAATAGATCCTGTATGACGGTTTCAGCGCGAGCTCGTTCCCAGCTCAGGTTGAGTTGCAAAAGCGACACAGTCACGCTGCCCAAAAGCTGCAACACCTCGAGCACCGTAGACTGGTCCGTATTGAACTCCTTTGGCACGGAGCGGATGAATCTTTTGTTCGCAATGGTGAGAATCACAAACCCGGACCCAAGCGGTTCCAGAGACTTGACTGCTCTTTCGATGTCGTCCTCCGACACCTGCAATCCACCACCAATGGCCTTCCCCTTTGCCACACTTTCGGCACATTCCTTGAGCCCGATCAAACCTCCATTTTCCGCCCTCGTACCCTGACACAACTCCACCACCCTCACTGCAACAGAGAAGTAAAAGTCATTAACATCGTGGCCTAGTACTTTCGCCCAAAGGGAGTCGGCCTTTTTGCCTTTTATATTGCTGCCGGCAAGTGGGTCAACGCCAATAGCGTTACACATGCGAGCGAACTCGGCACGGAATGTTGGGTTAGATTTAATAGTTGCGGCGTGTTCTAGGGCGAAGTTGTGAAGAAGAGATTGGAAGACTTCGAGTTGAGCCTGTAGGGAAGCCGCATTTGCAGACTTCAGTGATGAGCCATGGGCGGCGTATTGTTGGGCTGTGACAGACTTGTTCGTGAATGCCCCGAGACCGACACCTCGTCGGGTGGACATTGTTAATGAGATAAGGATTGCAATGATTTACATGGCCTCCTAAAGACTGAAGAGTGATGAGGCTGGTTCTACACAGTAGTTGAGCCCATCGACAGGAGTGGAGCGCTCACGTGCCCTGACGCCCTGCCAAGCCACTTTGGGTCTATGCCATTTTCGAGTTAGCCCACAACCTGCGGATCGAGGTTCAACTTTTCGGATTGCGTGAACTTTTGAACTTCTCGCCAGCTCGACCTTTCTTCTTTGACCTCGTCGCCGCACAAAGACAATCGCCAGCGAAGATGACGAAGCCAACTGTCAAGTCGTAAGTTCGCTCCTATCCTTGGGCTGACAGTCGGAATCTTCAGATATGGTCCGCTCCTTTCGCTGGTTCGCCTCTGGCTGCGCCAGCTCGATAATCCCAATGGCTTGAATCGGAGGGAAGGTGAAAGCCGCAACCGAAGAGTAACAGCCGGGGCGTTGAGGCTAGAAGAGTTACAACTTCTTCCTTGAAATACATTGAGCTCGTACGGCATGCTCTCTGTTTTTCGGGACTGAGCGCATGCTGTAGAGTCAAACCCCTTCCTGACCTCTGGTCGGGGCGTTGTCAGATGAGAGTCAAGAAAGTGCAGTCAGACCTTGCCCAAACGTTTGCGTCCGACTCACTCTTGTCTCACTGATCAAATTCATTTCGTCGAGTTCTACGCCACAATCACCAGTTTTGAGAATGCCGCGCCATAGCTGCAGTTCCGACTCGGCGATCTTACCCTGCGGACCATACTGATTCGAACCCTCCTCACAGAACTGTCCCAACGAAGGACCAGGTCCTCGTGCCGGAGACCTTGTTGAAGAAGAGAAAGAGCCAGGAGAAGGCCAGAGAGCAGCGTGCTGCTGACCTAGAGAAGCGCAAGAAGGTCGGTACATCCTTCCACACTCCAACAGATTCTTTGGTGATGATAAATACCAATGCGCTGGCTAGACCCTCGGGTCAATGTTGTCGCTTTTGTTATACCATCTTTCGGGGCTGAACATGTCGGAATCTGTGCAATAACTGTCATTGGGCTCTCGTACGCAGCAGCTAACATGTCACCTGTAGGCCAACAAGGAAAAGCGTGCAGTCATCTTCAAACGTGCCGAGACGTACGTCAAGGAGTACCGCGATGCGGAGCGCGAGAAGATCAGACTCGCTCGTTTGAGCAGACAAGAGGGCAACTTCTTCGTTGATGAGCAACCCAAGTTGGTCTTCGTCATCAGAATCAAGGGGTGAGTGTATCTTTTATGTGTCCTGCATCGCAACATCTAACTTGCTTCTAGTATCAACAAGATCGCCCCCAAGCCTCGCAAAATCCTGCAACTCCTGCGACTTCTCCAGATCAACAGCGGTGTCTTTATCAGATTGACCAAGGCCACCCAAGAGATGCTCACAATTGTCAACCCTTACATTGCCTACGGCTATCCCAACCTGAAGACTATCCGCGAACTCATTTACAAGCGTGGTTATGGCAAGATCAACAAGCAGCGCATTGCTCTTACCGACAACCAGCTCGTTGAGGACAACCTGGGCAAGTACGGCATCGTTTGCGTTGAGGACCTGATCCACGAGATCTTCACCGTTGGTCCAAACTTCAAGCAAGCCAGCAACTTCTTGTGGCCCTTCAAGCTTTCCAATCCCAACGGCGGCTTCCATGCTCGCAAATTCAAGCACTACATCGAGGGTGGTGACTACGGTAACCGTGAGGACGCTATCAATGCTTTGGTTAGACAAATGAACTAGGCTGGTTACATGTGTAGTGCGGGTGCAGTGGTCCCAGGCGTCGCGGGCTGCAATCGCGTTGATCATCGGGAATGCATGCCAACTCGAAAGAATGAAAGGGTGGGGCAGGCACACGAGAGAGGAAGTCATGATTTTGCTACCCATGCCTGTGTGCCACTCGAGTTAGTCACATATGTGATCACAATCAAAAGCCAATGAGAACGATTTTCTTTTGTCGACATTATGCGTTGTCATCCGAGCTCGTGCATACTGCTATACGATGTATTCCCCGAGGTTGGAGGAACCGGTGTAACTATGGAGTACGGAGTAGTGTGATCCGAAATTCGAAATTCGGATTTCGACTTGGGGCTGAAGAAGCTCACACTTCCCAAAGCGTCGGCCAAAGACTTTCCATCGTCTAATCTATGTCAAGATCAGCTATTGTCGCCATGCTCCTTGACGAGCAGGACCTCTGCATTTGCCAACAGAATAGGTTCGCAAAGATGTCTGCAGTCGAACCCATGCAGAGGCGGCATAATGAGCTGTGTTGGGTGGTGTGTTACTCAGGCTCCATGGAGACTCCCATCACATAAGTGGCCGCAGCTCTCTAGAGGCGGCAGATGACAGGTAACGTGCCAAATTGCTGGGACAATCTATACGTTGTGAGTCGTCTAAAAGTCAAGCCCACGGCGCGTTCTCCTGCCACGTTGCAGATGCTCCTCCTCAGCCGAATGAGATATTTGGTAGCTGCAGCCAACATGTGCGGCTCGCATGTTTTGTCTGCGTCCCGTGTCACACAGAGCCTTCGTTGATTCTCGGGGAGCCCTACGATCCCGCCCTGTCAAGGTCCTCAACCAACATTCTCGATCCGGTAGGACCGAGTCCGTTGGCAGGGGGGTAGGGCTCAATCGAAGTCTTTCGAATAAGACAACCCCTGGAGACGATCCGTCATTCACTTGCCGGTTCTGTTCACCTTTGGTGCCGTTGACACGGATGGACAGCGACTCTGACTTTGCTTGATATATTCAGCTATGCAGTCAAGTCAGGCAATTTCGGGGACTGCACCCCTGATCGAGCATGCGTCTAGATTGCTTCAAATCCCAGCACGAAGATAACACCTGACATACTGCAGCAGGTGGCTTGCACTCAAAAGCCATTCAACTCGGCAACATGTGGACCTCCTGTGCTTTCACCACCAAATGGGGATCGAGAGGAGGTGAGTCGTCCTGCACCTCTGCCGTCTGTGTTCGACCTTGAGTTCGGATTCACTTGGGATTCACTGATGTGCTTGGCACCTGCTTCTGTTCCCATAGTCTGGCACATAAGAGAGTGGTCCTGTCTCAAGACTTGGGTCTACTCAGCAAGCAAAATTCGATGGCACTTCTTGAGCAAGCTCAGAGCATCGCTCAACGATACGTGGCAGTTATCCTGCTAGCTCTCGTGATCGTGAGGCTTCTGTTTAACAAATATGGCTGTGGACTCAACTCAATTGTTGGCCCTTTTCTTGCTGGCTTCACCAACCTGTGGCGAGTCTTCAACACCTCATTCTCTAACCCGACCGAAGACCTTGTGCTTTGCACCGGAAATTCAACTCACACTTCGTGAGACTCGGTCCTAAGGTTGTTTCCGTTTCCGATCCTGCTCTGATACCGACAATCTATGGCATCAACACCAAGTTCAGAAAAACCGAATTCTACTCTATCATCGACCTATGGCATAACGGCAAGTTCACGCACAGCCTCTTTGAGAGCCGTGATGAAGACTATCATGCGCGTATCAGAAGGCCCATTGCCAGTGCTTACAGTATGAGGACCGTGATGGAGTTCGAACCAGCAGTAGACTCCACGGTGGAGCTGCTCATATCCAAGCTGGATCAGTTCGCTGCATCCAAAGTCTCGTTTCCCTTGGAGAAATGGCTGCAATACTGCACCTTCGACGTGTTGTACGTCCTCTATACTGCTTCCCGGCATTTCTTCCCCCTGGCAGGCTGACACATCTTGTAGAGGTGAGATCCTGTTCAGCAGAAAACTAGGCTTTCTCGAGCCCGGGACCGACGTCGAGTCAGTGGTGTCGGGAATCCGTTTCTTCACGAAGTTCTGGGAAGCGGTAAGTGTGTCATTGTATGTTCCCACATCTCCAACAGGAAAACTGACCTGACATCAACCTGATAGGCCGGCCAAATTCCATTCCTAGACCGATTCCTCTTGCACAACCCTCTGATGAAGAGATATGGACCCGATGTACCGATGCTGCGCTTCGCCGCTAACAGACTCAGAGAGAGGGCATCGTGGAAAGCGAGTGGCCATGCAACCAAGCGCGACTTCCTGCAGAGATGTATCGAAGCTCAAGCAAGATACCCAGATGTGGTCAGTGACAGAATGGTGGTGCTCTACAACTTCAACAACATTGGCGGAGGCTCGGATACTACAGCCATTACATTTACATCGGTGAGCGGAACATCTTACTAGTGGCAATCCGCTGTCAGGTCGCTGATTCTGATGGAATTTACATCTAGCCTATGTATCATCTCTTGAAGAATCTAACAAGCTTGCAGAAGGTACTGGAAGAAGTGGACCGCGCCGACAAAGAAGGTTGTCTCAGCAAAACTGTTACCTGGCAAGAAGCCGGCAAGCTGCCCTACTTCCAAGCTTGCATCAAGGAGGCATTGCGTGGGTCTCAAATGCTCATACTTGAATGCGTTGATCCCTCCGCTAACTATTGTCTGACTGCTCTGCTCCAGGAATCCATGCTCCCATCGGATTTATTCTGGAGAGATACGTGCCCAAGGGCGGCATCTCCATGGGGGCCCACTACTTTCCCGAAGGCACAATCGTGGGGATCAACCCCTGGCTCACGGCGTCAGTCCATCTTCCTCAGACAAGCACGACACCACTGACGCACTGCCATGCCACATTCGAAACAAAGAAATCTACGGATCAGGTCCCGACAGGTTCAGGCCAGAGCGGTGGCTCGACGCTTCGAAAGACCAACTTACCGCGATGGAGAGGGCGAAATGTACGTTACGCTGTCCCTGCCGCCATTCCGTGAGCGCCGTCACAAGCATGACTTTCCATTGACCCACTCGCTCTGTCCCGTCTAGTTCGGCCACGGTGCTCGCGAATGTATCGGCAAGAACATCGCCATATTGGAGATGACCAAATTGGTGCCCCAGTTGCTGCGCCATTATCAGATAAGAATATAACAGGCTCAGCCTCTTGCTCTCCCCTATGAAAACCCCTTTTTCGTTTGCGGAACCGACGCTCGTCACATAGACCATGTTTTGCTAACTCACGTTCACGCACGGTAGTTCTCGTTCGCGAAACCGGACCTGAAGTGGACGGTCAAGGGCGGCTGGATGATGTGGCAAGATGACGTCCATGTGGTTATCAAACGGCGGGCGAAGAACTCTATCCCGTAGACTGCTGCCAGGGACCAAGATTGAGGACAAGAGCCTGGCTACGGCCCAAAGTGCCATGGCAACCCAGGGCACAGTCGGAGGCCTATGCGTTCACGGCTCGAACGGCGCTTCAAGTGGCTGGCGGTGAAAGAGGCGAGCTGGGGATAATTAACGGCTTTACAAAAGCAAGGCATACCACGTCATACCGTAACGAACGCAATCGAATTGTCAAGTAGAGTCCTTCAATTCAAATCAAATTCAATCAAATTGAATAAGGAGTCCGTCTTTTAATCCCCGCTCACCGTGACCGAGATTTGGTATGTAGACAATCTGCTCCTTGAGGGAGCGATTGCGCTTACTGGACGGTGGGGCAAGGCATACAGCGTTGCAGGAGAACTGAACACCTTACTCTTCGAGTTCGGAAGATTGTAGAAAGTCCAGAAGTTCCACTGGCGCAGATATGATGCAGGAATAATATGGACTGACAGAACGGTCCAAGCAATAGAACAGCCATTCGGGTTGGGCTGGGAAGAATTGTATTCCACAACGCGTACGGAGTACACAGTAAACAGGTTGTTTCGCGGGGCACGATGCCCACAGACAATTCAGTGCCTCAACAGACGTCGGACTCACTTAACCCCCGTGGCCGTACATTTGAGGATAAGTATCACACGTAACCTGCCGTCTTTACGCAAGGTATGTACAAATGTCCTCTCCTGCGGAAATGCTCGTGGATCTTACACTTCAGGTTGTATCGGACGAGGGAGGCGAATCCGGCGAGTACTTGTGCCCATCACATTGCATGGTCGCCTTTCAACCCCAGAAGCCAGTCCGGTGTGCGCAAACAAGGCTTAGGCAAGTACTGGGCACAGAAAGAGCTGAAGTTTCACGTCGATAACGAGAGAGAAGCTGCAGCTTAGGAGTATGTTCCGACATGGGTGTCGTGCACGTGATATAGTCATTGGGTGAACCCCACCAATCCACTGGTACGACGTTGATTCGCTATGCTCCCTAAACGCGCTTTCAAAACGCGTCGCGGTCTTTCGAGCGCGACTTCACTGACGCGCCCACTCCAACCACCACCATTCATTTTCCCTCAGCTATACTCCGTACCTCAACTTTATTCCGTACTTTGTAACTCAGAAGCTTCTTCGTTACTGCACCCTGCATGGACAGGATTTAACAACATGTCGCACCGTTCGGCACTTGCCCAGCTTCGGGCTCAGCGAGCTTCCGGAAAGTCGCGACTTGAATCCTACCAGATTGAAGACCAGGGTGCCATTTACGATGAGGTCGACGAGGACGGCTACAAGAAGGTGGTGAGGAGTCGACTCGACAAGGATGACTTTGTTGTCGACGATAACGGTGAAGGTTATGCCGACGATGGACGCGAAGAATGGCAGAATGAGCGCCAGTCCTATAGCAGTGATGAGGAGGATATCCCTTTGAAGGGCAAAGCCGCAAAACGGAAACGTGAAGAGGAACGCGAGAAGGAAGATCGCTCCAACCACAAGATTCTCAACTACTTCAACAATGGCCCGGTTGCCGCTCCAAAACCCAAGGTATGTCCATCAGCAATCCCGCCGGCTTGGGTCTCTAACATGGCCAGATACAAACCACTGCCGAGGACGAAGCGTTCATGGCCGACCTGCTCGGAGAGGTCGATGCCAACATCCTGCCTGCACGTGCTTATACGAGTAAACCTGTCAAGTCGGATAACCGACGCAAGGTTCGAGTGCTCTCTCCACCACTATCTCGCGAACAGCCTCGACCGAAGTACCGGGCCCCGGCCACAGAACTCGTCGATACTCCTCCTCCACAGGCCTTCAACGATGAAGACGAACCTTTACCGACGTTCGACGATGACAACATCATGAGCGACCCCCTACCTTCGTCGCCCGTCGTCAAGGCTATCGAGCGCAAGACAAAAGTGCAGATAAAAGAAGAGGATGAAGATGACGATATGATGGACGTGGCTCAAGTCGTTGGAGACGAAGCTGCTCTAGCGAAAAGTGTCAATATGACGGGCAGCAGACCACCACCCAAGGTAAAGTCTCCACAACTTCCAACGCCTATGAATTCATCTCCACCATTACCCGCTGTTCAAGAAGTTGATGCGTCCTCCTGGACCAAAATCACCAGCCAGCTCAGCGTCCAGAGCAGTCCCTCTTCCGACACTCACATGTTCGGCAAGATGAAGCCTCAAGATGCTGTTGAAGAAGACGGCAGTCTACGAATGTTCTGGCTCGACTACACAGAAGTCAACGGTAGCCTCTGTCTTTTTGGAAAGGTCAAGGACAAAAACACGGGCCAATTCCGAAGTGCCTTTGTCAAGGTCGATAACATTCTCCGCAAGCTTTTCTTTCTGCCAAGGAAGTACAGATATGTCAATGGTCGCGAGACCGACGAGGAGATCGAAATGGACGATGTCTATGGCGAAGTCGACACATTGATGTCCCGAATGAAAGTCACTACCAGAAAGGTCAAGCCCTGTACGCGGAAATATGCCTTTGAACTGCCCGACGTACCAAAGGAAGCAGAATACCTCAAGTTACTCTACCCATACGACAAGAACACCCTACCAATAGACTTGCAAGGAGAGACATTTTCCCGAGTCTTCGGCACCAACACTGCATTGTTCGAACAATTCGTCCTGTGGAAGAACATTATGGGCCCGTGCTGGTTGAACATCGAAGATGCCGACTTCACTGCTGTCAACAATGCTTCTTGGTGCAAGCTTGAGTGCAGTGTCACGAAACCCAACAACATCAGTGTCTTGAGCAATTCTGAAGCCATGGAAGCTCCTCGTATCACATTGATGTCGCTTGCGTTCCGGACTCAACTCAACATCAAGGAGAACAAACAGGAAATTCTCGTTGCAAGCGCTCGGGTCTATGAGAATGTCTCCCTGACAGACACCACCCCTCCTGAAAAGATGCCCTCACGGACATTCACGGTAATGCGGCCCTCCGGCTCCGCTTATCCCGTTGGCTTTGCGGAAGAAACCAAGAAACAAAACGGTACCTTTATGCTTGAAAAGACCGAGCAGTTCCTCCTGAGCAAATTCCTCGCTCTGTTCGAGAGGGTCGACCCAGATGTGCTCATGGGCCACCAGCTTCAGGAGGTCGACTACAGCATCCTCCTAAGCCGACTAAAGGAGAAGAAAACCCCTGGCTGGCATCGAATCGGCAGGTTGAAGCGAAGTGAATGGCCAAAAACATTCGGCAGAGGTGGCTCGTTCTTCGCCGAACGACAGCTTCTGGCGGGTCGCCTTATGTGCGACCTCGCCAACGACATGGGCAAGTCCTTGATGACCAAATGCCAACAGTGGAGTTTGACTGAAATGTGTGAGCTATACCTGGGACCAGAAAATCCCCGTCGGGAAATCGACAACGAGGCGGCGTTGAAGACTTGGGCGACGACACGGGCCGGCCTGGTCGACTACGTGAATCACTGCCATGCCGACACATTCTTCATAGCCGCTCTCGCTTTAAAGTTGCAGATGCTGCCATTGACGAAAGTTCTTACGGAGCTAGCCGGCAATTCGTGGGCTCGTACCTTGAGCGGCACACGAGCGGAGCGAAACGAATACATTCTACTGCACGAGTTCCATCGCAACAAGTACATCTGTCCTGACAAAGAGTTCGGCAAAGGCCGCGCCAAGCAAACGCATGAGAACGAGGATGACGACGAAGGGGCCGACACCAAGAAGAAGGACAAATACAAGGGTGGTTTGGTCTTCGAGCCCGAGAAGGGTCTTTACGACAAGTTCATTCTCGTCATGGACTTCAACAGTCTGTACCCCAGCATTATCCAGGAGTACAACATCTGCTTCACAACTGTTGACCGAACAAGCACGGCCGAGAACGAAAATGAAGAGAAAGTACCCGAGGTGCCAGTCGACCAAGCACAGGGTGTATTGCCGAAGCTCATTGCCAACCTTGTCATGCGTCGCCGTGAAGTCAAGAAGTTGATGAAGGACAAGCGAGCAACACCTGAGCAGCTGGCACTCTGGGACACCAAACAGCTGGCCCTGAAGCTTACCGCCAACTCCATGTATGGTTGTTTGGGTTACACCCAATCACGCTTTTATGCTCGACCTCTTGCCATGCTCACTACCTTCAAAGGCAGAGAAATTCTGCGAAGTACCAAAGAACTCGCAGAGAGCAATCAGCTTCAGGTCATCTACGGTGACACTGATTCCGTTATGATCAACACCAATGCAGACAATATCGCACAGGCCTTGAGCGTGGGTGTTGAGTTCAAACGGTCCGTCAACGAAAGATACAGGCTGTTGGAGATCGATATCGACAACGTTTTCAGACGCTTGTTGCTACATGCGAAGAAAAAGTATGCAGCCATCAATATGTCTGAAGTGGACGGCAAATACGTCGAGAAGCTTGAGGTCAAAGGTCTCGATATGAAGAGAAGGGAATACTGCAATTTGTCTAAAGAAGCGTCTCAGAAACTTCTGAACGAGATCCTGTCGGGTGAAGATTCCGAGGTCGTTCTCGAAAAGATTCATGAGTATCTTCGAGAACTGGCAGGCAAGATGAGAGAGAATGCCATCCCGGTCCAGAAATATGTCATCTACACGGTAAGCTGCCCTGAACCGGGAGATGACACAGCTGCTGACAGGTTCAGAAACTCGGCAAGAACCCGACAGAGTACCCTAACGCCGATTCGATGCCTCAAGTCCAAGTCGCGCTTCGTGAGATTAGTCGGGGCAAGACTGTACGGGTCAACGATGTCATGTCGTATATCGTTACAATGGGAGATGAACAAACCAAGGGCTTGCCTGCGCCGAAGCGATCCTACACACCTCAGGATGTGCAGAAACCAGATTCCGGCCTCGTCCCTGACGTGGAATACTACCTGTACAAACAGATCTTCCCGCCCATTGAACGCTTGTGCGCACCCATTCCTGGTACCGATTCAGTCCGGCTGGCTGAGTGCTTGGGGCTGGATGTGCGCAAGTACCAGATCAACACTTCGGGCGGAACAAATCAGCAGAATACCGAGATCTTCCCATTGGAGTCACAAATCCCAGACAGTGTTCGTTTCCAAGACGCTGCCAGGCTCAATCTTCGATGCAGAACGTGCAAGGACGTTACGGTATTTGAGGGTCTTTGCGACACGACAGAGTCATGCACACCTGACGGTATATTGTGCTCCAACGTCGAATGCAAGCAGACATTCTCAAGACTCTCGATCGTCATGCAACTGGAGTCTCAGATCCGAGCACAAACTTCGGCCTACTATGAGGGCTGGCTGGCCTGTGACGACCCATCGTGCGGAAACCGGACACGGCAGATGTCGGTCTATGGCCATCGGTGCCTAGGTCCCACCGGACGTGCCGAGGGTTGTCTTGGCCGCATGTCTTATGAGTACTCGGAGAAGAAGTTATACAACCAGCTATTATATTTTGCTGCGCTGTTCGACACTGAAAAGGCCAAAAACAAAGCAAAGACCGAGAAGGAATATGGACAGAAGAAGGATCGAATCATGGTGCTTGCGGAGACGAACAAGGCTGCATTTGAAGATATCAAAGCTGTCGTTGATGGATATCTGCGCAAATGCGGACGACAGTGGGTTGAGATGGACACCCTGTTCGGATTCGCATGGGAATAGTTGGCATCGGTCGATCGCTGGATAGAAATGACCGTGATGAGAAGCAGTCCTGGCTGAGGCATGCGGACGTAGAGAGGCAGCCATGGTGAAGGGTGGTGATGGTGTGCTCGCTTCATTCTTGCCTCATTCTTGGTATTACGTCCAGAGCAAGAGGATGGAGAGAAGGCCGGCGTGTGATTGGCGAATGAAACCTCAACTGAGTGCCACTTGAACTTGACCTTGAACCTGAACTCGACTCATTCTTTGTAGCTCCCCGCTTGCTTCATTGTCGTATCTTGCACATTGGTCACGAACGGGAAGCCGCCTGTTAGTATTTGCGAAAGATGCCCAGCCGCTGTTCAGAATGACCATCCCACGAGTTCTGGTCATTGCCGGCTCGGACAGCTCGGGTGGAGCGTGAGTGATGAAGATATCGAGCGTCAGCCTCGCCTGCTCCTTGCTCTAACCGGCGCTCGCAGTGGTCTCGAAGCCGACCAAAAGGTCCTTGCAGCTCATGGCTGCTACGCCATGACTGCCACGACCGCGTTGACGGCCCAGAACACCTTGGGTGTGGACGACATTCACATCACGCCGCCAGCGTTTGTTGGCAAGCAGATCGACGCGTGTTTGACGGACATTGGCTCCGATGCCGTCAAGATCGGTAAGTCGCGCTGGGTGCAAACTCCTGTGTGACAGTGGGTTAAAAGAGAACAAAGGTATGCTCGCCTCGGCCGACACGATCAAGGTGGTCGCCGAGGCCCTTCAAAGGCACAAGGCCTCCAACATCATCACGGACCCAGTATGAAAATCCACATGCATTTCAGCGACCGAACAGACTCACAGCGCTTCAGGTCATGGTCTCTACCAGCGGCGCGCAGCTCCTCCCCGGCGATGCCGTACGCAATCTGCGGGAGAAACTGCTGCCCATATCGACGCTGCTGACACCCAACATCCCCGAAGCGACCCTCCTCCTCCGCGACGCCGATATGCAGTATAAATCGCCTGTCAACCTCGACGATCTCACGATCCTCGCGAAGATGGTCCACCAGCTCGGCCCGCAGGCAGTCCTCCTCAAGGGCGGCCACATGCCGCTCACCAAAAGCTACACCAAAGCCACGACCGACGCCGAGAGCGCCCTGACCGTGGACATTCTCTACGACGGCACCACCTTGACGACCATCGAATCTCCCTACCTCACGGTCAAGAACACGCACGGCACAGGCTGCAGCCTCGCCAGCGCCATCGCATCGAACCTCGCACTCCAGGTGTCATCCAGGGCAACCAAGGCAGCGAAGGAATCCCCATCGGAGCCGCCATCCCTCACCGTCGCCCTCCCCCTCGCGACCCGCAAAGCAGTCCACTACGTCTCGTCGGGAATCAAACTCTCGGACCCGACGCTCGGCCGCGGCGCCGGCCCCATCAACCACTTCCACAGCCTGCACATCCTGCCCTTCTCGCCCGGCCACTTCATCGACACGCACCTGCTGGTGCACCCGAGCGTCCGGGGTCCCTGGCACCGATACACGCACCACGCCTTCCCGGCGGCCATGGCGACGGGCACGCTCCCCGAAGGCCTCTTCAAGAACTACCTCGTCCAGGATTACCTCTACCTCACGCACTTTGCGCGCACGCACGCCCTGGCCGCGTACAAGAGCCGGTCGATGCCCGCGATCGCCGCGTCCGCACACATCATCCTGCACATCCAGCGCGAGATGGCCCTGCACCTGAGCTACTGTGCCGAATTTGGCATCTCGCAGGCCGAGCTGGACGATCCCGCACGCACCACCGAGTCGCTCGCCTGCACGGCGTACAGTCGGTACGTGCTCGACGTGGGCGCCAGCCAGGACTGGTTGGCCCTGCAGATGGCGTTGGCGCCATGCTTGCTCGGCTATGCTGTGACGGCCGCGCGGCTCCACGCCGACCCGGCCAGCGTCAGGGGGACGGACCGCAACCCGTACTGGAGGTGGATCGAGAATTATGTGGCGGAGGATTATTGCGAGGCTGTGCGTGTCGGCAGAGGTGAGTACGAGCAATGTCCCGGCAGTCCGTAAGCGTGTGTATGCGTGTGTACGAGCCCGTGTATGTCGGTTTTGCTACATGCGCATGCGCGACGTTGTGTTGTGTTGTGTTGTGTTTGCCTTGCCTTGCCTTGCCTTGCTCTGTGGATTACTCCGTGGATTCCTCTGTAATCATGCCTGATCTTCCCCCTTTCGGAGCAAGCAATACATGTGCCGCCGAGTGAGTGAGTGAGTGAGTGAGTGTGTACGTAGCTGACTAGCTTGTATCCCTCGACAGAACTTATCGAGACAAACATCGTCAAGCAATCGCCCGCGCGGATCGAGGAGCTGGTCGCCATCTTTGTGCGGGCCACGGAGATGGAAGTCCGGTTCTGGGACTTTGACGCTCACTCCGAGGAGGAGGAGGAGGAGGAAGGTCGGAAACAGGATGCGTAGGTATACACATACATGCATGCATGCTGACGTGCATGCTTATATACGTGCATGTATGAATGGAATGAGAAATACGAGGTGGCTGAAAAGCAAAGCCTGTGTATCAAAGCTGTTCAATGCACCTGTTGGATAGGATCGACTTGGTCACGGTCACATTCGTGGTGGTGATGGTACATATTAGCTAAAGTACTCCGTACAGTACGGTACACCGCTGATTACATGGAGACGAGCAACGGGGTCTATCCGACGACGTGGCCCCCAAACCCGACTGGTCTTCTCTTGCCGCCGTTCTCGGGCACGATGGCCATGACTTTATACGCCTTGCCCATCCCCTTGGGCCCGCCTTCGACGAGTCTCTTCCACCCGGTTTCCAGGTCTGTCTTTCTCTTCTCGATCTCCTGACTGTCCGCGCTTTCACTCTTCTGGGCCGCCAACTCTTTCATCAGTCTCTCGGCTCTCTCCTTGATGCCGAGCTGCGTCAGCCACATGCCCTGCTCGACTGGCCCGTGGACTTCCACTCCGGGGCTCGCTTCCAATGCCGCGTCGGCCAGGGCGCCGAAGTCAACGTCTGCGCTGATATCGGCGTCTCCGGCATAGACAAAGGGTGAAATGACTTTATGCTTGCGGATTGCACGGAGGGAGTTGACCGGCACGGTGTCCAGGGGGCCGTAATCGATTATGAGTGCTGCTCCTGCCGGAGTCGTTTTCGACATGGAGGATGGGGACGATGGCTGCGAGTCGCCGCCGATACGACGTGCAAAGTCCATGACGTATCGTGACGACTCGGGCGAGACTTCAATGCGAGACGAGACTTGGGATTTGAGGGCACGGTAGCGCGGTCGTTCCGCGATGACGAGGGACGAGGGCGTGCTTGCTTTGGCGAGGGTGAGCTGGAACTCAGGATCAGGTTCTTTGTGGCCTGAGGATTTCTCGCCGTCGTGGGAGAGCATGGCGGTGAGGTTGGGAGTCGTTGGCGCGACTAGAAGTTCTCGCCATTGGGGCAGTTTGCTGGCCAAGGGAGATCGATGTCTTTCTAGTTCTGCTTCGGTAAGGAGCTGAGCCTTTGTGTCTAGCTCTGCTTCTTCGGGTTTGGGAGCAACGGACTCAAACGCGTGGATGGGGAGGGCGTCGAAGAATTCATGCGCAATGATGAATGGGACGGTTGCGTGGGCGGGTTTGCCTTCGTCTTCGCCTCGTCCAGGAAGCAGTGCAATATCCTCGACCCATCTCACGGGAATGCCTTGTTTACTTGTAGCTTCGAACCAGACGTTCTTCCCTGATGGATCGCGAACCTCGTTGAGCGCGGTCGTTTCTCCGCAAAGCAGGTCCTTTTGCCTCTTCCGCAGCCCGTCTCCCGCCTCGACGAGCCAGACTGCGGATATAGCGTTCGCAAACGTCTTGAACTGCCCAATCGTCCTCAAAACATCACTCATCAGTGTTCCGCGACCGGGTCCCATTTCAATGAACTGGACACCCGCACTTGGCCGTCCCTGTGCCATCCACTCGGTCATGAACCATATTCCGACTAGCTCGCCGAAGATCTGCGATATTTCCGGCGAGGTGATGAAGTCGCCGGCTGAGCCGAACTGGTCGGCGTCACTGGAGGTTGGCAGACGTTTCGTATAGTATCCCCCATCGGGGTTGGTGAGGCATTGCCGCATGTATGAGGCGATCGATATCGGTCCCGTCACCTCGATCGCCTGCGCGATGGTCTTGGCCAGAGGGTTTGACCATGTTCGCGCAGGCAGCGAGGGCGAGCTCTGTGTAGGTCTGCTCGACGCTTGCGTGAATGCCCGTCTCGCAGGCGGCGTCGGAGGGTCATGGGTGCGGAAAGACGGAGGAGTCGGTCGGGATCTTGAAGAGAAGGATCGATATAGACACGAGGTCAGCCTGGGCTTTCGTTCGGTGAGTCGGCAACCTCCATATCTCATGGCGAGGGAGCAGGGACTCGGAGAAGGTCGTCGACGGGAATGGTGAGGGAATCAAATTGGCGCATCACTAGCATTTCCAGGTCGTGCACAGTATTGTACCATTCTAAGGCGGGAGGTGGGGAGCCAAGAGCCGCTTAAGCAGTGCAGGAAGCTCGCAATAGGCTTGTAATCGGCACCCAATAGGCGCTTCCACACGTCTAGGCTTCTTCTAGGCACCTTTAAGGCGACTCCAGGCAATGTCAGTCTCTGGTCTCACAAGAATTTATCTATCAAGTACTCCGTACTGACTCGTATTCTGAGAAGTACTCCGTACGGAGTACGTGCTTACCCTATCCTCGCCCAAGCATGCGACGAAAGGCATCCCCCAACAGGATAATGAGCCTGCCTACAGCACACAACTAACGTGTCCATGGTATTCGCACGATCCAATAGTCCTTTGCACTGGTCCGCCGTTATACGATCGGTCCTCGCATTCGTAATTCACGGTCCCGTCACCGCGTCGCTGTCGGTACCGACGACGGCTGGCCTGGCTGTCCGGCGCTTATCGAGGTTGAGATGAGACAGCACCATGCGATAACACCACAGGATACATGATCGCAAGCAAGTCCGTACCCTATTCAAATCAACTTGTATCTCTCCAGAACGTGGGAAAACCATGTTCTCGACGTAATGCAGCCGCGTGGTTCGTCAAGAATGCCCAGACCCCATGCATCGCGGCAGCATTCTGTATCTTCGACAACCATGAGCGGAAAGCGATATCAGGGACATATCCTTGCCACGAACGCCTCGGTTGCGGCCCTGGAATGGCAACAAGTCCAGGGATCGAGGCTGCGCGATCTGAAGCTCGATCCCATGCAGGTAATACATTTATAGATATGCGCCAGGACCATTCCGCCGGAGATATGGCTGACCACAGCAGATTTGTCGACGGCTCCTGACCAAGTTTTATGGCTCATCAGCCAGCGACGTGTCAGAGGGCCATCCGGAATGGAACACTGGGCGTGGTTGCCACCAACGGTGTGGTTGTTATGTGGCCACTTCTCGTCATCGAGTCCCAGGTCGTTAACTTCCAGCCAACGAGAAAGGACAGACAGTTGTCGATCCGGGCAAGCCGATCCGTGGTCTACAAGCTGATGAACGGCACACTGGCTGACGAAAAGACCGCGCGCTTGGGGATGAATGTATTCTGGTAATCGCCGTAGCGGCGGCCTCGGAACATCGCATGGGCGATGCGGCAAGATGCCCGATATCATATAAGTGCAGTAAGGAAGCTGGATGAGTGCACTTCACTTCACAACTTTACTCTGAGGGCAGGAGGAGCCAAGTTACCGTCGCTGCTGTTGCTAGCATTTCCGCAAGGGAGAAATCATGGTTGCTGATGAGAATGACACACTTGAGACCCTCAGTCTCTCCGATACAATGTCCTCACAATCCAACAGCACAGCTTCATTCGACTCATTCGCCCACAGCATATATCCGGCTCAGCCGCCGGACGCGACACATCACGAAGACCGAGCAGCATGTCCGAGCGACAAAGGGGAAGGGCATGAGCCAGGAGGTCTGGTGTCTCTGGAAAACAAGCTTCAGGTCCATCCAGAAAATCGACTTGAACAACCCAAACCCTTGCTCGCCCGGGCTTGGTACACGGTCTCAAAGTGAGGAATCACACCACATCCACTTGTTGGAAGATCAAAAAGCAAGATCGAATGCCCGTAGTGGCATGGGAAGACCTGATCAGGAAATACATATCCGCTGAGAATACCCTTGTCTTACTGCTTCGGGGGGCGGATTGAGGGAAGTTAGGGAATACAAGCCCCACGAGAGTCCAAAGGATGATCAACCACACGCAACCCACGATACCTCGTACGTGGACCGCTGGGTCTCGACGAAAATCTCCATGTTTCTCAGTGTAGATGTCATGAACATCTGTTTGGAAAGGTAATGTATGCTTAAGGAACTAAGTCTATCTAGGGACATGAGCCCATATATATAGGGCTCTCCATGTCCGTTTGCAGACGGTGAGGTGTAAAGCCCTTTGTTCAACAATTATCCCAAATTACATACTGTGAGAAGTCTCAGTCTCCGGGGAGAACCACTTCCGCCAATCTCTGAGCCTCTGAACGCTGATTTATGGCCCGGGGCACTTACAATATCACAGTATTGTATATATCGGTACCTATAAATATATATATATATTGTAATGTAATGTACAGTTGAGGAACGAGTCGACCATGAATGACCATCCCATGAATATGACCATCCGTTTATCCATCCTCTCGTCCGGTCCTGGACGCCGACTCTTTTACCATCCTATGCATGTTTTCGTACATACAGTACATACAGTACAGTGTCGTTTCCCTGTTCCGGAGTCGTGCGCCTCGCAATGCAGTACTCGTACAGCACACTGTAGACGTGATCCTCGTCTCGAAAATGCATCGCCCGTTGCCAGCAAGTGGAATGCTCGACTTGAGAGGACTCGCCTCTCGCTTGGGCATCATTGCTCGGTATGTCTGCCCTACCCCATAACCACCTGATTGTGTACATTTCGCTGTCGAACACGAATGACTGATTCAGGGCCCCAGTTCAATAACGCCAGCCTTTCCCCTCAGGTTTCCACCCTCCTCTTTAGCCAGCTCCTCAAAGCCACCACCCCAACCTCGGTACGTCTCCTTCTGGCTCTGCATTCTATCCCCCTTGGCCGTCTCCGCGCGCTCGACCTCCTCCCTTCGACGCCTCCTGTCTTCTTTCTCCCTCGCCCTTCGCTCGTTCCTGGTCTCTCTCGATAGCATCTGCGCCGCTTGTCTCGCCTTCCAGACCGGCACTTTCCTCTCGCCACCACTCCCAGACTCGAGCATTTCCCTCGTCCGCTCCCGAGCTGCCGCCTTCGTGTCCTGTTTCCGTAGCACACGCCGGGGCGTCTCCTGCTGGCGAAGCATACTGGCGGGAAACTGAGCGCGGATCGTTTCCTTTTTGATAAGTTCGAGCTTTTGCCGGCGGGAGAGGCCGCGCTCTTCGGATTTCTTGAGCACTTTTTCTTGCGCGGATTGAATGTCGGAGAGGATCTTGGCGCGGGGACTGGGTGCCGGCACGGAAGGGTCGGTCAGATCGTCGTCAGTGGGATCGACTTGCTTGGTCGGGTCTGCGACGCAGTCAACCTCGATATGCTCCTGGGAATGTCTCCGGCTCAGGCGATGGCCCTGTTCGTTGACTCTTCGCGCTCGGATCTCGGATGGATTTCTGGGCTCAACGACGGCATTCGCATACTTGCTCACAAAGGCCGACAGCTTCCGTTTCTGCAACCAACACTCGTTCAGGATCTCCTTGTCGAGAGGCCCCATTCCTTCATCCTCCAATTTCTCGTTGACCAGGATGATTTTGTCAATCGCACCAATCATGGTTCGCAGCAATTCGATGAGGTCGGCGATGTTCTCGTTTGTGCTGTAGGGTGTAATCTTCCGCTTCTCGAGCAGCTTCTTGACCCTGACTGTTCGTTCTTGGATGGAGGCTTGTTGTTCAATGTCAATCAAGTAGGATTTGATCATCTGTCTGACGTTCATGATATCGGGACTGAGTCGTCGCAAGGCTCGCATTGTGTGATTTTTGCTGGGATCGCGCTCAAAGTCCAGATCTCCGTTCTTAGTCTTCTCGAGGGCCTCGCCGTTAATGCCTTTGGTGGTTGCAATGGCTATTTCCAGATACATCCGAAGTACTTTTGGTGAGAACCTGAGCCTTTGGCCGTCTGGATCTTCTTCACTTTCACGCCCACTCATGTCTTCTGTGCTTTCCTGCATCAGATCCATGATTCGACTGGCGGTTTCGAAAACATTCGGGTTCTTCTTGTCTCTCAGACAGGTGCTCATTGCTATGATGAAAGTGCCACGCACCATCAACTTGTGGTTCACTTCTTCGGGCCGGGGTTCGCGAAGCACATCCAAAACAGCTCTGCTGGCGCGGGAAACCCGAAGTAGACGCAGATAAGCCATGATGTTTTGGTGGTCAGGTACGATCTTGTACGAGCCGTTTTCAGCAGTGAGCAATTCCCAGTAGTACTTGCCCAATCTGAGCTCCCGAAGAGCAGTCGCTGTTTCAATGAGCATCGAGAGAGTGTTCGTCCCGGGTGTGGCATAGACCGAGGAGTTGGTCGTGCTGACTTGCCTCGCAGACGGATCTGATCGAGGTGTTATCCTTGCCGGGGCATCGATCGTCGACGGACGCTGCTCGTCACTTCCCACCTCATCATCCTCTTGTGCATCATCCTGCATTTCAGCATCTGGCGCTTGCGACATCTTGGCTATGTTCATGGTTTGATGAACCAGGCTGAGTACGTCCTTCTGGGTTTGCTTGTCGTCCGAAAGCATCAGTACTCTGCCCATCGCACAGACAAGGGTCTCATCGATGTGAAGATAGCCCCTCCTCCACCGTGCCGTGATGTCAAGCCACAGTTTTCGGGCATCATCAATGACCTGATCAAAAATTGGTTGCGGATTGAAGCCCGGACCTGCTCTGGCTCCTTGCTCTATAGCGCGCTTTTGAGCCTCGCCGTTCAGACCTTGCAAGATGGTGGTGAAAGTGACATGGTCCGGAGCTCCCGGGCCGCGCTCTGGGAGTCTCCCAGCGATCTTCCACATGGCGTCGACGTCGTGTGCTCGGGCGCATACACTGAGGACAGCGTTGGTGTGGATCGTGGTTGGAGTGACGGCGGAGTTTGCAGCGGAAATGGAGTCGTAGACGCTCATGGCTTGTTGAACAGCATTGGGTTTCTTGACGTTGTGGCGATATCCTCTCAACATGATCGTGTATGTGTGTGAGTCCGGCTTATGACCTCGCTTCTTCATCTCATTGTAGACCTTCCACGCCTCACCAGGGGAATCCTGGCTCATCAGCCAGTCGATAATGTGATTCCAACTGACGATATTCTCGACACCTTTCCCATCGCGACTCTTCTCACTCGCACGGACGAGTTCCAACGCCTCGTCGAACTGATGGTCCCTCAGCTTTTCTACAACCCCTTGAGCCAGTTTCAGTGGGTCCACCAAATATTTCGACTCCTGTCTCATAGCTCTCTTCAAGTACTTTTCCCGGGCGTCGGGCTCGAGACGCTTCAGCCGGTTGTTTTCCACGGCCTCGGCATGCCGGGTATTGAACCTTGACCGCGGGTTCGATGGTCTGACCTTGGGCACCGAGACCTTTTTTCTTCTGTCCTTGAGAGCCTCGAAGAGCGAGTGGCGATGGTGGCCTTTTCTGAGGGATTCGAGGGTGGCATGGCTGCGAGAGAAACTAATTGTAGGATTGATGGCGCGCTCGAGGGGCTGAAGTGTGGATCGAGGTGAGGTTATGGAAGGGCTACCGAGGGAGAACAACGCCCGACGCAGACAGGCATCGCAGGTAAACATGAGAAGACTGAGGCGAAAAGCTCGACATGAAGCCCAAGGAGGAGGACAGCGACTGTTCAATGCAACAAAGTCATGAAGTCGCGGTCAATAATTTTTTAATCGGGGCAAGTAGACCGAAAACGATACCATACGTCATTTTAGCCTCTAACGGCGGTAATCGTGTCAGACAAAGGTACGGCCATTACAGAAGTACCCGGTACTTCGATAGTCCATGTATCACTCACGGCGCAGCACTGCGCCATTCATGGCGGCAACATGGTCGAGCCGGAAATCAGAGTTGTTCGCTGATTCCTCCGGACGTACTCCGATCTAAACGGATCCCTGCCAAAGATGTGTTTCTTAGTCTCACGCATAATCTGCAAACCTCAGCATTTAGCGTACGGCAATCGACCTGTTCGGAGGCCTGCCGGTACGGGTCTCCATCTGGTCCCTGGTACTTGTCAGGACACCTAAAGGACGTCAAGCTCTAGATGGTTCTGGGCTGTAGCCTCACATAATTAGCACTCGGTGCCGTCCCCTTGCTCAGCTAACCCGGGAGCAAGCCACATCGTCACCCAGCACTTCGGACTCTGCAGTAGTCCCTGTGGTTGACACGCTTGAAGATCTGTTCAAGCGCAGTATCCCTGTCGTGCCCTATCTTGCGCCACCCATGCAGGCCGTTCTCTTCTGGACTGGGGTATAAGTGAGGGTTTCCCGGCCGTATCTTGTGAATTCTGTCCACGGGTTATATTTCCGGGCATGCTGGGCGGGAGTTGAGTCCCTCGGAAAACAGCTGCCAAAAGAAGCACGACGACTTCCTGGTGCTCATACCGGTCAGTCTGTGCCTCTTTGGCTTCGTGACAGGTCGTGTTCGCGCAAAAGTGTGTGTTCCGGCTGTTCCGGATGGCGGACAGTGATTGGGTGCAAACAACTTACCATGGGAGACCGGAGTCGGGACAATGCTCATGAGTCCACTGAGGCTCAAGTCCTCATGGTATCGGGGGCTGGCTGCTGTAGCACGAAGGAGGATGCGACCATGCTATACTTGAACTTGCTCTGGTGGAAGGAACAGCAAGATGTGACTCCTGATCAGGCCAGGTACCAGGATCGGGCAGTGGCAAGACTCGTGCAAGCGTTCGATTGACTAGCATGGTTCGTCCTCGTGTTGATGCTAAAATCTAGCGTTGGGTCATGGCCGTGAACTTAGTGATGATGGAGCAGTCGCAAACCAGACTGTCGGGTCCCCGAAGAAAACGAGGTGTGTTACACGAGACGGTTGTGCTTTGATAGGTGCGACGCAGTGTTCTGACATCTGTCTGTCACCTCATTGCGGGCACTAGGAAACTAAGCAGTAGCGTGAGCGCTACCCGTGAAATAGCTAGCCTTCCCAGTTAACAGCATTAGGCGTGTTAGGCCTAGAGCCCGCCTGCTGGGCTGAGGAGTTAGGCTCCAGGGCGCCTAGCTCTGACGCCGTCCCGGGCAGTCACTGAGCCACGGGGACGGCCTCTAGTGGTTGCGCAACACCCAGCGCCGGCACATTTCGTGCAGCTGTCGGCCTCAAGCTATCCTTTTTGCCCACCCCTCGCTACTTCGGCCACCATTTTGGTCTCCTTCGCAGGCGTCGCTGTTAGTCTTGTGTAACCCCAAACCCTCGTGTTCAAGCAAACCCACAATAAAGTAGCGTTGGTCACGAATGTGCGCCAAACCGCGATTCGAATCCTGGCGTAACTTAAATTCTACGACCAGCGTCTCTCTGCATAACAACATCTGAAGTCGTCAGGTGGAGAGTGCCTGGCCACCACAAAGACTTCGCCTTGCGCGACCTGACCGTGGTGCTTTGGTACGAGTGGAAGAACGTCTGGCGGACATGATGGAGAAGGAAAAGTTGTACTTGTTCTTGGCGGAAGATCAGTGCTCGAATATGTTCGGTCTGCCGTGTCTACCAAATATGTTTGGTAAGACTGAGTTTCTCATCTAAAAAGCATTCTCTCCACGCGCACCAACACATCAGGCCATACAATGTACAGTGGCGGACCGAGGGGCCCAGATTCCTGTCGCAATAGCAGGTGACCCAGGCGTGCCCGCTGCTGGGATTTCCTCTGTCGCAATCCAGTCGACGTCAACCTTTTGTTTCTTCACTTCCGAGCTCTAAAAGTCTGGGGTATCCGTCCAGAAGTCCACGGCTTCCGTAAATGCTCCGCTCTCCCCTGAAGAAATGCATTCGATCGCCTGGTCGTCGTAACGTTCATCGCCTCGAAATATTCTGTTGCTGTGCCGTTGGTGGAAGAGACCGTCAACCGAAAAAAAAACACGCCCCAACCAGTCAAAGAAATTCATGTGCACGGGCACCACCAGCCAACATGACAAACAAACTCCTGCAGACATGCCCTTCGACCTCGATTCTTTTGGCATGTCCGATTACCTCCTCCACTCCCACCTAGGGTATCTTGGTAAAAATGAGGTGCTGCTTCAATGCAGAAAAGCATCCAACTCGGGCACAAGCACTCTGGCGCCGCTCACCGGCCCACGCAGTCAATAACCAAACCACACCGAGCCCCGAACGCATCATCCATCAATCGCCCAGTTGCTTGCGTCCCCGTGCGGTCTAGTACTGACGTTGCTGATAGACCTGGCCTTGCTGTCCGTAGGGCGAGTTCGGGTAATTTGGATAGCTGCCCATCTGGCCATTTCCCTGTGGATAAACCATGCCGGCCTGGGGCTGCGCGTATTGTCCCTGAGCATGGTTGTCGGGGGTTTGATATCCTATGGGTGGGAGAGATGGGCGGGCTCCATTCTGTTGGTAGCCTTGCCCCGGAACCTGATGTGCATCTGCAGGAGGGTCGACCTGGCTAGCTTGCGCCGCAGCTCGGTGACGCTCTTCCTCTGCCTTGCGTGCGTTCTCTTCCTCCTTCTTGCGAGCTTTCCATTCCTTGCGGATTTCTTTGAACTCTGTCAACACGTCAGCAAACAACTTCACACTCTGGGTGGGGGATGAACAGGCAAGCTGAAGGACGCAATCTAGGCTGCGGCGCCGGGTCGGACTTGCGACAAGCGCCGCACAGACAGCCTCCCGGATCTCGTTCACCACTCCCGAGCATAAAGGGAGGGGGTTTGTAGGTTCGCGCTAGAGTGCATACCTTCGGGAGTTCTCTTGGTGCCATGCGATTGCATGGTCACATGCGCGTTCAGATGATTCAACGTTCCGTACGCTTTCTCACACCCGTTCCAGCCGCATTTGTACATTCTCTCAATCTCTTCATATCTCCGTCGAGGTCGCTTGTGCTGCTGCGCACCCGGGATCGGCACAAATGAATACACCTACAGGTTGAAAGAAGTTAGATCGTGGACACATGTCGGAGGCAGAAGTCATTCTAAGCGCTTTGACGTACCTGACCGGATCGCGACGCCGCTGAAGTCTGCGGGGGACCTTGAACGCCTGGCCCCGGGTGGGGGTACGGACCGGGCATACCATGTTGTGGTGGATAACCTCCCCATTGCTCGTGTGGCGGTCGTTGCTGCATGTAAGGCGGATGTTGGGGCTGGTAGGCATGTTGCATGTCCTGGCCCTGAGGGTAGGGTGAGTAGGGAGGGTAGGTCGGGCTGGCTTGCGAAATCGAGGGATCTATAGGAACATCCGAGTTAGATCTCACATGGTGGGAGCTTGTATTTGGATTGCCATTGGGTGCTCCTTCTGGCAGGGACTTTGACGGACTTGTTGGCTGTGCCATGGTTCCAACAGCACCTGGGTGGTGTTGCGGCTGCGGAAACTGGCTGTAGCGAAGATGCTCTGGCGGGAAGCCCGACGAACGCGCCGACGATGGGGGCAGACCGTAGTCAGACTGCGGCGTGTTGTTGCTTGAGATGGGTGCAGATCGCGGGTCCTGCGTGGCGTAGGTCGCGACAGACGACTGATCTATGTGACGCGGCTTTTCTCAGAGTTTGCTCGTGAAGATTGGTTTGTCTCGTGGTGTTGCTAACCTGACTGCGCGTACTCTGATCCACCTCTGTCCATCAAAAGTGCTCTTCACTGCCTTCTAGGTGAAGAACAGGACGCGATTGGTGAGGCAGTGGCAGTGACAAGCGGTAAGACACTCGAGGCGCACTGGCGTACAGTGCCTGACCCGAGAGAAAGGTTGTGGATGGAAGTGGTCGCTCCAAGTAAAAATCGTCCAGGCCACACACTGGACGGGAAGACAACGATTCGACTGAAGCAATCCCTAGACAAGACCGGCGCGAATCTTTATTTTGAGGGCTGTCTAGACGAGAGCCCCAGGACCGTGGCGGACTCGAAGGACGCCGCCGTTGTGGAGAGCAGATTGGACTGAGATGGGGTTGGGTCGGGAGCGACAAGCGCTATTTTGCACGAGGAACGGACACCAAATCGGTCCTGGCGTGCAAAGCACTCGAGCAGAAAAGGATAGGTGATCTTTGACCAGGGGCAGCGCAGTGTACCGTCGAACCGAGGGCGAGAATGGGTCGAAAATGAGAGGTTTAACACGTTCCTCACTGCGCTAGTTGCAAGCTTGCACTGAACCAAGAGGAGCCGTTACTTCTCTCGAGATGGTGCGGGCCCAGAGACTAATAAACAGTAGAGAGAAAAGGGTAACCGGCGGGAGCCAACCTCGTCCACGGTCGGAGGAGTCTGATAGGTCTGGGTTTGGCCCCAAGATCCTCTTGTTCTATGTAGCAGTTGAATGGTGGGTTTCTCGCTTTTGGCGGGTGTCTGCTGCGTGCTCCTGCCAACCACAGCAGGTGGGTGATGCCAGGTGATGTGACAGGGTTGCTTTTCCCTCTCTCTCTGAGATTCTTGCGCCGGAAGATGGCCTCAACTGGGATGCTCGCCCGTTGGGTGATCGATCAGAGACGCAAATGGGTGACCGCCTTCAGGTGTGGAACCCAGGCGCACACTCTTCACTACGTCTCCTGCCAATCGCAGTGTGTTTGGCAATGGAGAAAGGCGTCTGCCGGGACGAGGTTTTGTGTCTTGACCTGTTCGCCTTTGAGGGAGATGAGCCTAACACCCCGGTCGATGGAGGCAAGCTCGATAGGCTGCGCCAGGGCAGAGGCAGGTTTACACACACCGGCAAACAGAGTTTGGAAGTCGTGTTAAAGTGGGGTGTCGAGGAAGATTCAGTAAAGCGCACAAGCTTCGAGCGCTGACTAGTGTCAAAGAGGTGATGGCGCGACGGCGGCAAGCTAGCAGCCTAGCCCTCAGGCAGGGGTGGCAGGGGAGGGCACGGCGAAGATTGTCTTCCAAGTGGGCCGCCCCCGAAATTGTCAATTGCTCAATCAGAATCCTCGGAATGGATGTTTTTCCTTCTTTCTCACTGCTGCTGTCCCTTAACGCGTGACATAGGCAGCGTTACGGATAAGACAGGTAGTGGCGAGGATGTGCAGCGTCAACGTGGACAAGAGTCAGGAGGTGGATCTGAGTTTGGGGTGAGGTAAGAGGTTAGATGTGGTTGAGTGGTCGAAGGGTTCGACGATGGCTGCTGAGTGGCTTCTTCTGCGCCAGCACGCTTGAGGTTGGATCGAGCTCCAAGAGAGGGCGGCGAGACTGCGCTGCGTCTGTGCTGTTGACTGGCGGACTGCACCAAAGCAGAAGAAGAAATGAGAAGCGACCAGAGCGCCGGGTGCCGTAGCAGTTCCGCTTTCGGGGGGCAGTTGCCAGCAGGTGAACTGTGTGCGTTCGCACTCCGCGGTCACACTGTGGTCTCTGCTGCTGGTTGAATAATGATGCAGCGCAGACCGGGTGTGGAAGGGTTTGGCACCCGCGCTGATTGGGCCTACGACTGGACGCAGACCAGGAGAATGCAGATGGCTGGTCGGCGACCGGGGACGTTTCCTGAGGTGACGGTCAAAGAAAGTTCCCGGTGGAGTAGCAGGACGGAGGAAGGCGGACCAGGATAGGTTGTGGTTCGACGATGCAAAGGGTCGAAGGATGGGGTCGATGATGTGGTTGAGTGGGGAGCAGTGAATCAAGCTAGCAAGAATGAATGAGATTGCAATTGGAGAAGAATCTTGATCACTGGTTATTTGGGGCAGGAGAGGGTACGGAGCGACGTGAGTTCTGGATCCGGTTTTGCAACAGTAGCCGACGAACCGAGGGACAGGGAAGAGGCAGGACGCTCGCAGCTGCTGCGCGACGAGCGAGGAGCGACAGAGCAGGGAGCCCGCAGTTTGGGAGCGGAGCGCAGAAGAAGCCTGGAAACACAGGCGCAAATTATTTTGGGCGATCCATCACAATGATTTCACCTCGGACTCGCTTCAGTACGGAGTACTCGTACTCAGTCCTGGATTGATGCTCGGGCCAGCAGGATTCGGGCCCCGTCCCCCACTGCTGGATGTCACGGGGGCTGACTCTTCATGAGAACTGACTTCGTCGTACCCATCGAGCAGGAACGAAGAAGGGCATCGAGGGGGCCATGTCGCGTTTCGATATCGAACTGAACGGTGAGGTGATGAGTCGGTAATGGTCCGCACCCCTTCTGCAGGGTTACACCGTGGGCTAGACATTTGTGGGCTAGTAAGGGCTTGGCTATCAATACATCCCCACGCGTCTAGCTGTCTTCCAGCGGCGGTACCAGTGGGAGTCGACGTCGAAGAGCCTGCCCTTTGCAGCTGTGATGTCGTCCTGGTTGCAAAAGGTTTTCGCCTCTTTCTTGCCCGAAACACCAATCATACCCGCCGGGGGCGACAGTTTTGTTGCTCATTCCTCCGGGCCCGTTCCTCCAATCCAGCGCCGTCGGTGTGATCTCTCATTCGCTGGCTCGCCTGGTGTCCACTCCGCACCTTGACCGAGTCTCTTCCTCCTGCACCGCCAAATGGTGTTACAGAACCCTGTGATTGCTGCCCAGCATGCTCCCCCTTGCTCCAGGCCATGTGCCCTCACACCACTTCGCCTGCAGAAGGTCTTTATCAGACGCACACCTTAACGAGGGCCCATCCACAGTGGAAATCCCGAAAGCAAAAGAGACAGTTCCCACATTGATTAAGTCATATGCTGCAATGCTCTCCACCATCTCTACGTTTTTCCCAGCCCTAGGCCTGACTCACAGTGGCGGAACAGCCGTCGGAGCCTCTTGTCATGGATGGGTTGCTGCCACGTTGGCTCGTGTTTTCTCGGAAACACAAATTCCGAAGGCAAAATCTCGCATTCCTTGTCGAAGCTCAAGCTTCGATCTCGGGGCCCAACGACCATCGACCGAAGCTAGCATTTTACCCTCGAGCTTTCACTTCCCCAGGATGCCTAAAGAAGTCTCCATCGCTTCACCAATCGGGCATTCGGACCCTGCTACTTCAACAGTCTAGCGCACCAGATCTGATCAGGTTTCGGGGCTCGTTCGAATGGGTGGCCAAATGTCGACACTATTGTACTGGGTAAGTACTTATTGCAACTCCGTTGACCTCTACTGGGGTGCCCAGTGACTCTCGACGTTCCACATGATCCGTAGCTGTAGAGCGATGACTTTTTGGTATGTGCGGTCTCTGGATCTCGTGGATTTCACATTTACTGCAGCGAAACCGAACCACAGAGTAATGCTCCAATACAGTTAGCCACCGATGGCTTCGGAGGGTCAAGCACTTGCTCCAAGTGCTCCATGTGCTCCATGTGCAACCTTCGCTTCTTGCGTAATTTCCAACAGCGTCTCTGGGAGCGTCGCCGAGCAGAATAGCACCCCACTTTCATCGGTGATGAAGAGCACACTGAGGGTGAACCCACTGGCACACTTTCCGAGTAACATGAACCAACCTATGACCAATATCCGCCCGTCAAGTTGAGATGCATGTCAGCGTCAGAGCACGACATTGCCTCTCACACGATACATGAACATGATCACTTCCGCCACCCTGGCTGGATGTCAGTCACCAGAGTGCAAAAGGTTCCCGGACCATAGTGGCCTCCGTGCCAATAGCAGCCAAATAGTGGTCAGCTACAGTCATCCGTCGCTCAAAGTCCTTTTCACACCCGTCAGTGGACTCACCGCTAAGCCTGCACTGCAGGCTCTCCATTCTCAGGAGGAATATTCCCACTACTGGCGCGCCGTCCATCTTGCGGATCGACACCGCGAGACCCGGCCACTGAACAATTAGTTACGCTATGATATGACGAGGCTGAGAGCTCTGGCTCTCATATCCCTCGGAGCCCCATCTTGCAGGCTTGGTTTGCATGGCCTAGACGGGCTTGTTGTGTTGATCTTAGTTAGTTACTCCGTACTTTAGGCGTCTTTCCGGACGAGCGCAGCGCCCTACACGGTAGACGTTTAATCAAAAGATACTTTGAACTACGTCCACCAAGAATCCCGCAGAGCGCCCGACAACGCCAGGTCTCAGGACCCAGATCTCTGGGCCATGTCACCAACTCCCGAGCTTCAGATGTGGAGCCAAGGAGGTGCCAAAGGAGCATGTTGACGCATCGTCCAGCCGTGGTTGCAGTCGAGCTGCAGTCGAGTTGGAGCCCCCCTCCCCATGCAGGTGAGAAAGCTAACTTCTTTATGCTTTCTAAACGCTGCTAGCGGGCCCCGAGTATGCCGAGGGCTCGGGTACGTGTGCTGTCGTTGGGGTTGAACGTTTGGTCAGGGGGGGTTGCAGAACGCGGCCTCAAGCCCGCTCCATACGCCTAAGTCCATGTGCTCTGCAGATTTGACAGCTGCGGGTTTGCTGCACTCTCCCTGCATGGCACCGTAACGACATGGCTGGTGCAGGACGGAGTACATCTTGTGGGAGT